TTCCCTACATGCCGCACGTTCTGGAGTTGCAGAGGGACCTGGGTTTTGATACTAGACACTGAATGCCACATGTAATCAATCCACTAATTACCAAGGCTCCTTTCTAAAGGAGCATTCAGGATATCTGCCCAAGGCGGCCCTACAAATGATATGACACCGAGACAAACAGGATATGCTTTGATCTCACCCAGGAGCAAGATCCCAGAGGCTTGGCAGCTCTTTCCAACCGTTGGATTTATTTCTCACACTCAGCGAGAACAGCTGCAATATAACCCGCTCGCTACTTCGCATTTCGGCCTCCTTACGTTCCTACTGCTTCATGCATCCAGCAAAATAAGGATGAATGGAGACTCTGCCATAAAAGATGGTCCTCCACATCCCAAGTGATACCATAATCATGAGCTGTTTCAGGGATTCCCTCCAACGATTTTGGAGGGGCTCGGGTCCACCCCAGAGCACACAGGGAATTTTCTTTTTAAGTAGCAAAAGTGTTTGAAGAAGATGGAGCAATTCATCAAATTAGCTCCATCTTTGCCTCTGATCATGTAACAAAGCACACAGCCATCAATGGGACGATTTGGGCAGCAAACCCAGCCTTGGGTATGAAGTTCACCTTGATTTTCTCCCTACTCCTTCATCAATCACCAGTGAGAAAATTTGTGAAACTTGAACTCCTCAAATAGGCAAAAAGAGAATCAAATTTTCTCCTGAGGTTGGGTTCCCTCTGCCATGTTGGTAGCAGCAATACTATTATTGTCAGTAAAGGAAGGGAGTAAAGCTTTTAGTCATGTTTCTGCCCAAAAAGGACCCTGAAAGCTCCCACAAAACCCATGGATCACTCTCCTCATTTGCCTTTATCTTCCTTCTCCCACCACCTAGGAAGGTCATCACAAAAAAGCAGGCTCTTAAGGAAGTATCTCTACTGTCCATTAATTAACCCCACCATGTTCAGAGCAGTTCCCCTAAGCTTTGCATGTAGCCTCGCTGTGACTGCTGGCACCATTAAAAATGAAATCAATAGAAGTGAAAATAAGAGAGACTGCTGATGACTCTCATTAATGGGAAGCAGAGGAATACATCATTGTGTAGCCTGGATCTATCTGGTACCTATGGGTAATGTAGACCATTGGCCTCCAAATTCCCTACCTTAGAAGGCCAGGGGTATTGCTTTTGCATAGCAAAGATGGTGCAACTCCTGGGTGCAAACCATCACAAGTCCATGCGTGGACACCTGTATTCAGTGCATACGTAAGCAACCTGCTGGACGCTCTTTAGGAACCAAAGAGACCCCAGTGCTCCTCCTTCCTCTGCACGGAGAGACGTGAAATGCCACCAGGCAAGCTGGTTTGACATTTTTAATGCTGCCATTTGTTTCAGGAAACCAGTCAGAGCAACAGCAATCAGACACCTTGATAGGGGTGTTTGTCTAAAGAGCAAATTACCTGGCACCGAAATAATAACAGGGTTTTGTAACAACCAGGAAAAACCTTGCCTTCTGCCAAGGTAACTCAGACCTTGTCACCAGTCTGGCTGCTGATTGTTTTAAGAAAGCCATTATAACCATCGTCATTCAGGGACTTGGGACAGTGCTGTCTTCCCCAATATGTGAACAGCAATCAGACTGCTATTTCAGCCGTGCCTGTGCCTTGTTTCAAACCAAGGAGCTCTCAGCTGAACTGAGAAAGGCCTTCAGGGATTACACTTGCCTCAGGTCTTCCAGGCATCCGAAACACAGGTTGGCTTCAATTATAGTTTACAATGCACTGCTTGCTGAAAGATGCCTGGGTGCCAAACACAAAGCCAGTTTAACAAATTATCACCTTTGCATTGGGCACAGAGATGTAGCCATCAGCCTTGCTGTCTGTGCAAATACCAGCATGGGAAATGTCAGATGATTATGATTAAAACAGGCCTAACCACAATGGCATTTAAAGAAATAAATAGGCACGATGGGAAGCCCATCGGCCCTGTTTCTTGCATCGAGATAAAAGTCAGGCCCTCAATTCCCTCTTGTGGGAATGAGTTCCACCAACTAATCTTTTCTTGTGTGGAAAACATATTTCCTCCATTTCAGGATGCTCTCCCTGGGGTTTTTTTTGCAAAAATCTAACTAGTCTCATAAAAGATATCACCTCCACAGTGAGTCCTGAATGCTTTTTCCTCTAGACCGATACATCTACAACCTGGATACCTCTCTGGAATGGGCATTCAAATTCATCGTGTATTGATCAGAGCCGGGCTAATGACCTGTCTTGGGCTAAATCTGCCCAGCTAGTAAATACACTACACTGTTGCATTCTCTCCAGAAAGAGTCATCTCAGTGCACACCCAGGTGCGTAACCCTTATCCTAGGTTAATCAAAACCCGTCCCTAGCAAAGACATGCTCCAGACTAAAACACAGGCTTTGATTCAGGAACCGGAGACGCCTCCTCCATCAGCCGCACCTAGCAATTTGCAAATGATATGAAAGACTCATAACCACTTGTTATGTCAGAGCACTGCGGGAGCACATGGGAGGTTGCTAGAGATGTTTTCTGCTCAGGGTGAAATCTTGCCTGCAACACGGAGGGTGGATTGCCCAAGAAACCCCCTGGGAGAGCTTGTGTCCGAATGCTGCAGGGCGTCCCAGCCGGGCTTCCAGACAGCAGTAATTAGTAATAGTTATGGCACTCTCTCATACCCCCTTTCAAGCTTCAGTGCAGATCTACAAGGCTGCACATGCTGCTGCTTATGTGGGCTCTGCTCTCATAAGGACTGGGATATGCACAGGGCCGGTCCAAGGGTAATTGGTGCCCTAGGCGAACTATGTACCTCAGCGCCTCCACTACCTCCAATATAGAGGAAATTAAGAAGTCTACAATGACCTTTTCCATGTACTTATTTGATATTCGAAATGAACAATACAACAATAAAAACAAAACATTTTAATGGATCGTTTCACACTTTTCATTAACCCCAACGTAAGTCTGCTGGAGAGGTGAAAAGCTAGGGGTTGTAATTCTAGCGATCGCTGCTCTGAGATCTTTTCAGAGGTCTTCCTCCCCTTACTGAAGCAAAGGTCTAAGGTGGAGCCGTAGCCGGCCGGGGCTGTTATTGAGAATGATGCTCCTGTTATTTTGTTCTGCATATAAATTTGGCGCCTCCCAAATGTTGGCACCCTAGTTCGCCTAATGTTTGGACAGGCCCTGGATTGGCAGTGGAAGAGAGGGAGGGGATAATCCTCTAACCTGTATCACAAAATGGGCACTCTTAAGGGCCTGATTTTCCTTCCACTAACCTGTGGAAATCAGACTTTTCCCATGCTCCCAGCTGTCACCCACATCAATAAGGTTGCACCTACCAGCGCCTATATTCCCTGGCATGGTCTGGAGGGCAACTTCCAAAGTTACCGCCTGCCCGACAAACACGGAAGTGCTGCCAAGCCGAGTACAACCACATACATGGACTCAGCCCAGGTAATACCCATTCCCTAAAACACTGCCCCTTTTAAAAGAGGTGGGAAGACAGCTCCTTACCTTGCCCATGCACTTGTCCCACAACATGACTGGCCACGGTGATCCATGCAAGAAAGACAGAACTGCAAATCAGCATGATGTCTCGGGCCTGGAGGAAGAGAAACATTTGGAGGAAAAAGGCATAGTAGGTCCCAACACCCCACACAAACCACATTCACCCTACGGCCTCAGCTGACACCTGTACTGATGATAGGCATGACCAGTCAGGAAGAGTTTACCATTTTGTTATAACCCAGAGTGATTGCTCTGGGTTTGATAGGCACTATTGTAGCGATCAGCAGATTCAATAAATACAGGCATACGATGAATGAGAAGAATTAACAACAATGAATCTTATTGTGGAGCAGCAGGCAACCTCTGCAGTCCCTTAGTTTCTCTAACTAAAAGCTGCAACCCAACTGAGTGACTCTATCCTAGTTCCCATCTCTTCTAAATTCGGGAGTCTCTCTCAATTACAAATGTTATCACTACAACTATCATCAAGTTTCCATCGCTACCGTCCAAGATAAATCTATTCTATCCTCTGGCCCATCGCTAAATGCAAATCTATACGGCTAGCTGAGAGCATATTTTGGTCCTCCATATCTTTATGTCTTCTTGATTTAATTGCAATGATTTTGCTCTTCTGGCACTGCAAAGCTCATACAGGTATGGAGAAGGTGTGGGTGCTGCTGTGCTTCCTTTTAAGTCTTATCAGCAAAAAAAAAAACCAACCAGATTCCAGAATGGTTTGGGTATTTCTGAAAAATGAAGTGGGAAATAATCATTTGCAGTCATCGTGGCAAAACAGTGACACGCATTCCTCTCCTTTCCATGCTGTTGCTGTGGATCAGGCTTCGCTGGGAAAACAGCTCCAGGCCTCCACCTACCTTCTTGCATGGCTTCAGCTCGTTTCCCTTACAGAGTAGCCAAAACAACCACCCCCTGAGAGCCTGCATGTCTGAATATTGAGCTTTTCCCCCTGGTACCAGTAAGGACCATCTTCTCATGGGTTTCTTGCACAGGCAGTTTGTGGGTTTGCAGTCGGTTCAATTTTCCTTCTCCCTCCCCAAAGCCCTCATGAGACAGGAGCAAAACACGAGGATGCACTGCTGCATGGAGGGTTACAATGACTTCCCTGCCTTCAAAGCAATAAAAAAGAAGAAACAAGCACAGCGAAAGAAAAGGGATAAATTACACTATGCTAGGCCAAAAATCTGCATTATCTGCATATCACTCGAATGGGTATTTTGGAGTTTGAACACTTGGCACTTTGCAAACTCAACAGGCCACTGGAGGGTTAAAATCCCCAGACCCTTTTTCCAGGATTTTAAACCTTTCTGGTTTAAAAGAAATAAAGTCAAAGCCCTTGCCATTTCTGTAGGTCCTATAAGAAAAATAAGCGTCTTGATTCTGGGCTCCCCAGTGACACTGCTACAGGATAAACTGGATGACCTGCTTCAGCCCAGCAAGGCCACTGCACAGGAGCTGAGATCTGCTGAACACAACCCCCTCTTCTCCCGTACCCTGGCCGAAATTAGAACTAGGAGTATGTCAATCCTGCCGCCGCTGCAGTGACCGACACGCATGGTGACATACCTGAGCTAGCTTCAAACATGCTGGCATAGGTCCTGCTAGCCATATAGCTACAACAGAAGACCGAGGGGGATTGAATAGCAGCCTTCACCTCCCTGCAGCGGGGTTGCAAAGAGGATGGAGCTGGGCTGTTCTCAGTGGGGGCAGATGACAGGACAAGGAGCAATGGGCTCCAGCTGCAGCAAGGGAAGTTGAGGTTGGATATTAGGAAAAACTCTCTCACTTGGAAGATACTAAAGCACTGGAACAAGTTACCTAGAGAGGTTGTGGTCTCTCCATCTCCCCAGGTTTTGAAGACCTGGCTAGACAAAACCTTGGCTGGCATGATGTAGTTGGGGCTGGTCCTGCTTTGAGCAGAGGGTTGGACTAGGTCCCTTCCAACCTTCATGGTCTGTGATTCAAACATCATAGAGCTCAGTGTGGGCTGCAAAGCCTATGTTGAGTAGCAAGCTTTACACTCAGGCAGCCAGCCCCTGGGGAGCTTTGCACTGCAGCACCAACACCTATCGGTGCCCAAACGAGCTCAGATGTGTCGGAACAAGTGACTGCAGGACAGACGTGCCATAAGCACCCATCCACAGCTTGCTGAGACCAGTGGAAGCTGTCCTATTAACATCAATGGGCTGTGAAACAGGCCTACTTCTATTCAGGACAACGGTGTTACACCACAGGGAAAACCCATTTAAATGATGGAAACCTCAGACCCATTAGGATTTTGAGCTGAAAATATTTCTGCAGGCTTCGTGCGATGCATCACCAGCTTCTGTCATTTGCAAAGCGGCGCCATTCGTTCCCGCATAGACGGACTGAGCGCAGCGGTTCCGTC